TTGGAATATTGCACCCAGTATTGGAATATTGCACCCAGTATTGGAATATTGCACCCACTCACCATCATTTAAAAAAATGTTGAGAGACTCTAGAAATACAGAAAAGAGCAACAAAGATGATTAGGGGACTGGAGGCTAAAACATATGATGAACAGTTGCAGGAACTGGGTATGTCTAGTTTAATGGAAAGAAGGACTGGGATAACATGATCGCAGTCTTCCAATATTTGAGGGGCTGCCACAAAGAAGAGGGAGTCAAGCTATTCTCCAAAGCACCTGAAAACAGAACCAGAAGCAATGGATGGAAACTAATCAAGGAGAGAACTAATAAAGAACCTGGAATGAAGAAGAAACTTTCTGACAGTTAGAACAATTACACTCTTCAAAATACTCCTTGTCTTTAGGTTCTTCAATGAAAGGCATAGAACATCCTCTAGTGGTCCTCATTTGAACAGCAACCTGACATGTTTTGCTTTTCAAAAGTCTAACCAATAGATGAGAGATGTGTAAACCAAGTTACCAGCTTTCCCCTATGCCTGTCATCAAAATAGGTTAGGATGTGACGAAACTGGAACTGAGCAAATGGCAATTGTACACGTATTTATAATGTATTTGACTTACTGGGAAACACATGAACATCCACCTTTGGAAACCCTTGCCATAAATTCCAGCAGGTTTCAGGTGGTAACAAGAGTTACCTGTAGTGCCAATCAGTCCCACTATCCCAGTTCCCAACTCTCCTGCACTGGATTCAAGAGTCTATTGAGGAATTCTAGGTGTCTTTGATAAAATGCAACCATTGGAAAATCTGATCAAGAAACTCTATGTCAGTGTTTTTCAACCAAAGATAGATGGACTTCAACTCCCAGAATTCTCCAGCCAGATATTTGCCCGAACAAGTATACGACATTTATTCATAGAACGGATAATAGAAGTAGGGCAGGTGTTCTAACAAGCTAACCTGAAGCAGGCTGACTGACATACAATCATTATTAAGATATGGTGGTTTCAGAGATCAGCATGAGAAGAAGTTGGTAGCGTAGCGGAAGCGTGGAACCAACTCCCAGTGGAGGTAGTGGGTCAGTCATCAGTAACTGAGTTTAAACATGCTTGGGATAAACATTGTCTGACAAAAATTAAAAATAAAATATAAATAAAATATAAAAATAA